CGTTCCTCTTAACGTGCAGTAGTTCTTCGATACCCAAATCAAGATTATGAGAACTGCCAAATTCCCTGGTTCCATGTACAGTACATGTATAATTTATGACAGAACATGATCTGTATACAATGTATGTGTAGATTGTACATTGACCTGGGTCACCCAGAATGCTATCATTTATTACTGTATGTACACTGTAGGCTCTATTATGTACATGTACAGTATGTACATCTGTAGTCTACATACTGATATATTTCAGACCTTGGACTTTCATTTTTAAACATTTTACATGTTGTGTGTTGTACTCTGTAAGGGAGGGGTAGGGGGAAACTTACTTTGTAAAAGAGGGGGCGCTAATTTGTTGACAACCCTGACCCCCCCCCCCCCCACACACACACACACAAAGGGAAGGTTTTGCTGCCTTTCAGATTTTAATACCCCAAAATGCTCTGACACTTTGACAGCAAAAGACTAAAGAAAAAATAAAGAGATGTTGGACTTGCATGCTATTAAGATTCATGTACAGTATTATACCACTTGAGGTAAAAAAGGTTTCGCATGCCAGTAATAATTTCCACATTTTCAAAATAAATATCAAATGACAGAACTTTGCTTCCATTTATCAATCAATAGTCTTTTAATCTTATTACTGTCAGCAATCGGTACCTGCACAATTATTTAAGAGCATTAGAAACTGACATTGATCTTGAAATGCATCCGAAGTTCAAGTTACTAGAGTACTGTAAATGTGTGTATAATTGAAGTGCTTTATTCAAGAGTCATGGGTATCATGACCAATTGCAAATAACTTTACTAATACATCATATGCACTTAATACAAATGTATAAATCAAGTTTCGATTGCTTTACTCGTATCCTGGAATAGAGGATACATGTACATGTACTTTACATGTACATTTGAATTGGTAATTGAGATTTTATGAAAAATACACTCCAAAACAAAGCAAAACAAAACAAGCAAAACCAAAACCACACCCCCAAACCTAAACAAAACAAAATTAAACATAATTTAAATAGAGCTCTGTTCACAGTTTATATTCTTGTATTTACAGTGTACCCTACCCATTTTCAATTTTAGACAGCCACTTTCTTGTTTTGTTCATGAATACTATACAGTACAAGTGCACACACAAGTTGTTGCACTGTTTTTATTCTTTTAATACCTGCACATTCCTGAATGCACATTTATAATTTAACATGTAGGAAAAAATAGAAAAAGAAAACAATTCTGTGATCATGATCTAATGTAAATATCATTTTCGTTTTGTTTAGTTTGTTTGCATTTATAAGCGACGTAAAATTACACTACCGGAATGTGCATTTTAATTTCTATATCAACAAAGCAAACATACACTGTATGCCTACAACTCTTTAAATCCTGTTCTATACAACATGTACACATACATGTACATGTATGCTTCCTTATTGTTTTCTAATCTTGTAGTGGTAACCACTCCGGACATGTACATGTGCAGTATACCAATCGCCAACAGAGCAGTGACAAGTCACCCCCAAAATAGGAATTAGCAAACACCATTTGAGGTTTTTATGGGTAATTCTACTTGTGTAAATGGTGGTTCAAAAATCTATGATTTGTCAAAATGGTGTTTACATGTACATGTAGGATGTGGAAATGGGTCTCTACATGTCCTATCACTCTGCCTCTCTGATTGATGAGATAAAATGCAGATGTAATTTCCTCAAAAATGTAGACAATTACTTTGCTTTGGTCCATAGGGTATAGGCCTTGCTGTGTAGGCCTGATCTAACTCTGGACATTGTGTATAGACCCAGTGAGACCCTAATAGGAACTGAAACTGATAATGGTCTCTTGTTATCGCGCTGATCTCGTCATATCCTGCGCTAGATGATTTCCTCATCATCGTAAAGGACGTTGATTGCCAAGATGGATCACATTCCCTATTGTGACAGTGTATATGATTTCCTCATCGTCGTAAAGGACGTTGATTGCCAAGATGGATCACTTTCCCTATTGTGTTGATTGACCAAGGAATTCCTGTCCATCATTTGTCTGAGGTTCAAGTGGACTTTACAGTTTTATTGTTCACATGTACATGTAATGTAATGTGTATATAAATGATAAACATTTGACTTCCATTGGTGCTGTAGATGTAACATAGACCATACATTATGTAATAAATAATGATACGTTAGGCGGTGTCACACAGAAAAATCCCTTAAAAAATTCCTTGAAAAATCCTTACAAGGGAGAATTTTCTTGCTTCTTTAGAGGATTTTTAACGGGAAAATTGATGACAGACAGCAATTAAGTGGATAACTAAAATCTGGATAACTAAAATCCGGATTTTGGGACTCTGTGTGACAACGCCTATTGTGTGGTGTGGGCTGAGAGCAAAAAGGGAGAAAGTTTATCAAAGGAGTTGATTGCCAAGATATCACACTTCTAATTGTATTACAGTAATTGGCTAATGTGTTCCTGTCTGTCAATTCTTAGGTTCAGGTTGGACAACTTATACACCATAATATACAGAAATGAGACATCTACACTGTAGAATTCATTGGTTATATTCATCATACATGTAAACTTTAATGGTTTGTCCAGATTATATGTGTTTTTGTACATTTGTTATCGTTTGCTCGTCTTTGTTCTCCCTATTAAACTAACATGAATCCCACACAATAATGCGACCCCCAAATGCAAGGGTAAGAATGAAACTCATGAAAATCTCAAATTAAGCGATGAGGGTGTGTTAATTTCTCAGGTGATTGGGCGTGCGGCACAGAACCATTCCAGGCTGTGGACTACACATGTACCGGTAGTTTATTGTGTGCTAAGAGCAAGACAAGCAATATTAAAAGGAGTTGATTGCCAAGATACAGTGCATATTAAACTTGTTTTATTGTTTCGGGAAGTAAGGAATTTGTATGTACATTGCATGAGTGTCAGTTCCAAGGTTCAAGTAGATGATACATTTACATCAAAAACAAAAACTTACTGTCTAATTGTTATAAAGATATTGTACAGTGTTCATGTATGTAGTTTATTCATGTGAAGTGCTCATTTAAGTTTGGCTTTCAGTTTCAAAGTACATGCACCTGTACATAATGCAAGTAACCTTTCACTCAATTAATTATCAATCCAAAGTCTTATAATATTTTGTTTCGGTGAACTTTATGTCTTTTGTGATCCATGTGATTACAGGTAGTCTTAACAATATTAATTTACATGTATTTATATATATTTTTTTTGGTCTTGTGAACTTTGGTTGTACATGTGCATGTATGAAACAACATTTTCGTTATTAAAAGTTTGAGCATCATTTTGTATTTGATAAAGAATGTGTATATTTTACACTACACAATAAATTATAGGCTATACAGTATGTACAGTACATGTACTGAAGGTGCAGTTACTGTCAACTGAGTAACAAATACTTGCTAGTCAAGCAAGAGAATGAAAGGAAGGAAAACCCACTGCCCATTGAATTGCTTTGATTGATTTAGATGAGGTGTGTAATTGTTCAATATCCTTGACATTACTTTTCACTACAAACAAGCAGCAGTCACTTTGATAGGCTCTTTCCAGGCTCTCTTCTTTTAAGGTTGAATACTTTTCAGTAGTACAAACATGTTGGTATTAAGGAGTATACTCCTAATACCAATTTACATGTACAATATTCAGAGGTAAAAGCCTGAACACCAGCTGGTTTCCATTTTGGTGTTTAGGGCTGGTGTGAGTGTTGAACAACAGCCCTAAACATCCATCTTGAAATCACTCATTGTATATATTAGTAATTGGTCAACTTCTGTAGGCTCTAATTTCTTGTTGTGTACAACTTAAATACATGTACATAAATACTAAGTAACGTTCTACAGGAAATTAATGGAAATTGGATTGTTTTCTGGAACAATTTCAACCCAGACTTCTAGGGCAGTTGGGGAATCCCCTAGTACAACTGTGCGTTATTACGACATGTACCAACCAAGTAATTTCAACACAGGCCTACATGTACTGTACATGTACAATTTCAGTAGCTACATGTAAATAACTTGTTATTAATAACCAGTTTGATAACACAGGGCCCAGGATCAGCAGAAGTTTCAACATATTGTTTCCCAGAAGATTATGAGTTTGCCAACAATGTATGCCATACGTCTAGACAGTTCTACATGATACAATTTTATATTCACACAGGAGCTCTTGCATGCATTTTGGGGGAGGTCATTTACCATGCATAATACAATGTACACATGTACATGTACTGTACAAGGTCGCCTACTGATGTCTTTTTGGTTCAAGCGGGCCACAGCTGCGTGTACATTATACTGCCTGTAGTCCCTGTACATGTATGTAATTTATTTACATGATGCATACAATATCAATGTGTTCATGTCTGCACAAGTTCGATACGATGTTACCTTCATGTGCAGTGAGTCGCTACTGAGTTTATTTGCTGACCTTCGAGTCAGTGTTTAGTGTTGTGTGGAGATATGTGATGATTCAATACACTGTACATTAAAGGGTACATGTACATTTGTACATTACAATGTAGATGTAGATGTACACTGTAATGTACACTATAATGTACATTAATACCGTACATGGCAGGAATTACGTAATGGCAGCCATGCTAAAAAGCGCGGTAATACTTGTGGAGTGCCAGGAGTGTCAAGTATGACAGATACAGTATGAGGGCTGTACAGGAACCCAGTACTATTATTATTATTATTATTATCATTATTGTGGAAAGTACATGTACCTATAAATCATCTTTCTATTGAACACAAATGAAAGATAGATCAAAATTTATATCTCATGTTTTTAAAACTTGTAATTGAATACATGATTGTTAACCAAATTTTGAATACATGTTCCATTTTGTCTTTATTTTTAATAATATAGGATTATTTCTTTCTTTATTTTAACTTTCTCGTATTTTAAATGTAATATATTTATACAAAAGAAAGACATTGAATCTTATTTGCTTTTTTGTCTTGTTTTATTTCAGAATCTTGAGACTCTCCAATCAACCCTTGATTAGTGAAAAGTAAGTATAAAAAGTTCACTAATTTTCACTTTTCTTTTGTTATTAAAAAAACCTTAAACAAAATATTAATCGCTTCACATTTATGAAAACGTTTCATCAGGATTTATTGTAATAATTAAATGATCTTAAGGGTTCTTTTATCACACCCATAAAAGGAAAATTCAAGTTTTCTTTTGGATGTTATAAAAGAACTTAGACATTTTAAAATCATAATTGTTTGACAAGGTTACAGAATGCAATTCGTTTGATGGACAATAAAACATTTTAGTAACGAAATAGTACCATCCGTTTGAAACTCTAGTCAGAAAAGGAGCTGGCCATTTCTGTGGGGGATAGCACTTTGTCGTGACTAATTGATTAAAAGATGACATGTTATTTGCCGATGCTCAGCGGACGGACAGTCGTAAATTTTGCGCTGATCTCCAACGAGACGCAGATGAATGACATGACAAGAAAAAGAAGAAAATTGGATTGAACCCTTTAAAAACACGGGCAGATTAAATTGCAGTCTCCCTCCCTGGTGTGGACATCCCCCATTTGACTTTCAGCTCTCTCTCTCTCTCTTTCTTATCAACGTTGAGTTGTTATAACGTTCCACTCATGATGAAAGCTCATCTTTTTAATAGTGGGGAGAGGGGGGTGGGTGGGTTGCCGATTGCATTGAATTGTTCCTCATTCTCCCGTATTTTGTGTCCATCAATTCAAGTGCACTCTTCTATCATAACAAAAAAACTGAGACTAATCAATTATAAAAAGGTAATTAAAATGTGCGTAGATTACATGGATCAGATGACTCATGATTGCTTTCGTTACTTTAAAGTCTACTCTCAAACCTCACGTGATTAATAAAAGAAAGGATTCACTCATTCAGAAATTGTATACAAATCGTATGATTGCTTTGGAAAGAATCACTGTATGCTTTCTCACGGTATTCCATTCTCAATATTTTATTCGTGATTATATGTTTTTGAAAATAATTAAAGTAATTATGCAAAATACCCTATGTACAGTATTTGTACACTTGTACAAATGTATGAAGGTCTACATGTATGTCTGTATGCATAAAGCTGTACTTCAATAAAAAAAAAAAAAATTTTTTTTTTAAGAACACCTGTAATATTCATTTACAGGCAGTACTTTTAGTTGGATACATGGAAATGATCTATTATCTTTAATGCATTTACATTAGATACATTTGATCTTGATTCTGGTAGTAGAACATACTGTACATGTACATGTATGTACACTGGGTTTAAATGAATTCTGAATCATTTTTTACCGCAGTATGCGGATTAGACACGTATGAACCAGCATAATGAGAATTGCATAGATGTCACCCAAAATGCTGGAAATGTTATTTCCTGAAACAGTGGGCATAATTTCGAACGTATTGTTTAAGTCTGTGGGACTTTAGTATGTGTCATTACCAAAACTCAATAGATCCGTGCTCTAGCGATGACCTTAATTTCACCATTTTCTTAGATTACGTTGCATGTTCCAAACCCATCGAGTAACGTAGTGTAGGCATGCGACATTGCAAACTCTTGTACATTGTACAATGACTGAATGAGCATGCATACAAATGTGTACCGGTTATCGAACATGAAACATGTTGCAGCGTAATGTACATGATGTACATTATGTGTAATGTACATGATGTACATTATGTGTAATGTACATGATGTATGTTTGCAATGCGCATGGTATGTAGATTAGTCATCAGTAGCAATTAATATACCATGTAGATAATGGATGAGCATAGAGGAGCAGATGGGGCCTGGCAGACGTCCTATTCACACATTGCAAGATCGTTTTAGGGTTCTACCTCAGCGCTTGCCCCTCCTCCTTTGGGCCAGCGGAATATGTCTGTCGGACAACTAATGTACATGTATGTACATTTACACTAGATATATAGGCCCCACATGTACTTGTAAGAGACAATATACAGTGCATAAATGTGAATTACAGTAGGTAACCAGTATAGTTAAAGGTAAAGACCAGTTTTGGAAACGCCCCAATTTCAAAAAATGAAATGGATGCTCTCATCAATCATGTGAAAGAATATGTTTTGACTAATACATGATGATAAAAAATTTGCCTGGAAACCGCCTACTAATTCATATATTTGGTAAATTTGTTTCTCTCATGGTCTGTGAGAGATATAGGGTAGTCCCATATACATCTTTCTGTGTATAGTGCTTGCAACTTTACGAAGAATGGGCCAAATTTCTTATCATTTTGATGATTCCAGAACCTTGCAGATGCTAGATGCTAGATGATCAACCTTTTCTGATCGATTCCACAACATTTCTTTCACAATGCAATCGCATGACCATAACTGGTCTTTACCTTTAAACCACTATGAACAGGTTACCTTGACTGAGAGGTGGTACATGTACCTGTACATGTACATGTAGCTACATGTAGTCACTCCGGTCTACCAGTATTGTAATAATAATAACCAGTTAGTCTAGTTCCCATTTCGTCTAATGCCCATTTCGCCTACCATCCATGAGGCCGAACAACCATTTGATTACAGGCATAGACAAATTGGGTAGCAGACGACTGCTCGTAGACCAAACGGCACAATAAACCCTTCTCCTCTGTACTGCTTCATACACTATGGACAGGTTACCTTGACAGAAAGGTGGTACATGTAGCTACCATAGTCACTTTGGTCTACCAGTATTGTAATAATAATAACCAGTTAGTCTAATTCCCATTTCGTCTAATGCCCATTTCGCCTACCATCCATGAGGCCGAACAACCATAATACAGGCATAGACAAATTGGGTAGCAGACGACTGCTCGTAGACCAACCAACACAATAAACCCTTCTCCTCTGTACTGCTTCAAACACTATGGACAGGTTGCCTTGACAGAAAGGTGGTACATGTAGCTACCGTAGTCACTTTGGTCTACCAGTATTGTAATAATAATAACCAGTTAGTCTAATTCCCATTTCGTCTAATGCCCATTTCGTCTACCATCCATGAGGCCTAACAATCATTTGATTACGGGAATAGACCAACTGCTTGTAGACCAACTGCTTGTAGACCAACTGCTAGTAGACCAACTGCTTGTAGACCAACTGCTAGTAGACCAACTGCTTGTAGACCAACTGCTAGTAGACCAACTGCTTGTAGACCAACTGCTTGTAGACCAACTGTTTGTAGACCAAACGGCACAATAAACCCTTCCCCTCCATACTGCCTCATAAGCAATATATGGAGAGGTTGGGATGAAAATGAGCAAAAAGTGATTTTCCATGCCTTTCTCTAGCCCCCTGACATTAAAACCTGATGCTTCCTACAGATAATTCCTCTCAAATCGGCAATGCAGATGCCATAATGATGAAACGTACAGTAATAGCAGAGGCAGTTATTACACATTACGCCATACTGTTGAACCTCTATAGTATACTGTACATGCATACACGTTTTGATGATGCTTAGTAGAAAGTTTGGGCTATCGGAAAGTCAATTAGCTCCATGATAGTTCAGTTGACCATTTAGAATTGGTACTTTTGGTCACAGAAATTTGTTTAGAAATGACTATGATTTTTCACCCTTATCTGTCAGTGTCAGGTTTGAATGAGAATCATACAAAATCATATTTTACCGACAACTTCTGTAGTACATGTAAATACCTTGCAGTTTTAAGTTAAGTTTCTCTTGTACATGAAGCCTATCCTAATTATCCATTAATAAAATCTTTATACTAATATTTTACTGACAAATTTTAAGTATACATGTAAATACATGTACCTTGCAGTTTTAAGTTCAGTTTCTCTTGTACATGAAGCCTTATCCTAATTATTCATTCATAAACTCTTGGATACCAATATACATGTACTACTGCTTGATTCTTCTTCAATACCCCATCAAACATCTTCTCTCCCGCTTCATTTTCCCTCTCTATTTCCCTCTTTATTTTCCTTTCTTTATTTTCTCTTCCTTTTTTTATTTTCTCTTCCTTTTTTTATTTTCTCTTCCTTATTTGCCCTTGCTTTTCTAATGGGGCAGATGTTTGGCAATATGAATCTACAAACTCAACAAGTTAGCATAATTGGATTGAAGTTTATAAAGTGCAGAGCGTCTTTTGTCCCATTGTCTGGTGCAAGGCATCCCCTGTCAGACAGGGTGCAGCCAATTGTACGTTTTTGTGTGGCAATTGTACGTTTTGTGTAGAAACGCAATGTTTGCTTGTTTGATCTGTATTGTATTGGAGGGCGCGTTCAGGCAAGTCATCCTAACCTTGGAGGATGATGATTAGCTCAATCTTTTTTGTTTTTTTTGTTGTTGTGGGGGGGGGGGGGGGAAGGTAAGGAAGTGTTTTACTGTTCAATGAGATGCAATACTGTACATCTGTGTACATACAGAAGAGGTGTCGTGAATCAGTGGATACGTCGCCGGACTGTCGATCACAAGGTCCGCGGTTCGAGTCCCGCCGCGGCACTAATGTCCTTTGGCAAGACATTGATCTACATTTGCCACTCTCCACCCAGGTGTTAAATGGGTACCGGTAGGAAGGAATTTCTTTAAATGCTGTGAGCGTCGAAATTGGCAGCCTAGCATAGCCGGGTAGTGTTGGAGCGCCTTGAGGACCTTGCAAGGTCGAAACGTGCGCTATAAGAATCCAATATTATTAATTTTTGAAGCTCATATTTTGAATAAACAGTTTCGCCACTTGGAAACCCCTTTAATAAGATAAAAACATATTTTGGTGCCTGGAAATCTTTAAGAATGCAGTCAATAGTTTGAACACTCTCTTGAATGTGCAGAACCACTTGTACTATTAGGTAAAGGATTATTATGTGTTTGGTCATCTGGATCCAAAATCAATATGTAGGAGACGGAAATGGAACCCTTCCAAGATTGAAAATGAAAACAAAAAACAAGCTTATTTTGGAAACAAAACAAAAAATACAACAAACATGTATAACAAGCTATTAACAGACAAAGAGAAATTAAATAATAACAAAAATATCTCTAGAATTT